GTTTGTCGGCAAAACTGTCTGTCGGTTACACTCTGTCGGGTACACTGGCTGACGGCTACACTGTCGCCTACACCGTATGTCGGCTACACTGTCGGTCGTCTACATTGCCTGTCGGCTACACTGTCTGCCGGCTACACTGTGGGTTACACTGCCTGTCGGCGACACTGTCTGTCGGCTACACCGTCTGTCGGCTACACTGTCTGTCGGCTACACTGTCTATTAGCTACACTGTCGGCCAGCTACATTGTCTGTCGGATACACCGTCTGTCGGCTATACTATCGTTCGGCTACACTGTCTGTCGGCTTAACTGCCTGCAAGCTATATTGCTTGACGGCTACATTGTCTGTCGGATACACTGCCTGCCTGATAATCTTCCTGCTAGCTACACTGCCTGCCGACTACACTGCATGCCGGCCACACTGCATGCCGCCTAGTCTGCATGCCAGCTACACTGCCTGCCGGCCACACTGCATGCCAGCTACACTGCCTGCCGGCCACACTGCATGCCAGCTACACTGCCTGCCGGCGAAATTGTCTGCCTGCTACACTGCTTGCCGGCTACACTGCCTGCCAGCTGTATTGCCTGCCGGTTACACTGAATACCTGCTACACTGCCTGCCGGCAACACTGTCAGCCGGTTACACAATATGCTGGCTACATTGTATGCCGGCTACACTGCCTGCCGGCTACACTGTCAGTCGGCTACATTTCCTGCCAGGAACACTGCCGGCCAGCTACACTGTTTGCCGGCTATCCTGTCGGATATACTGTCGGCTACACTGTCTGTTGGCTAGATTGTCTGCCAGCTACACTGTCCGCCGGCTACATTGTCTGAGGGCTGCACTGTCTGCCGGTTACACTGTCTGCCGGCTACACTGTCTGCCAGCTACATTGTCTACCTTCTACACTGTCGGTTACACTGTCTATCGGCTACACTGTCTGTCGGCTACACTCTCTGTCTGATAAACTGTCGGCTATACTGTATGTCAGCTACTCTGTCTGTCGGCTACACTATCTGTCAGCTACACTGTCTCCTGGCTATACTGTCTGTCGGATACACTGTCTGTCGGCTACACTGTCGGCCAGCTACATTGTCTGTCGGCTACACTATCTGCCAGCTCCAGTGGCTGTCGGCAACACTGTCTGTCGGCTACACTGTCTGCTGGTTACACTGTCTGTCGGCAACGATGACAGCTACACTGTTTGTCGGATACTCTGTCTGTTTGCTACACTGTCTGTCGGCTTCACTGTCTGTCGGCTACACTGTCTGTCAGCTACACTGTCTGTCGACTACACTGTTTGTCGGCAAAACTGTCTATCGGTTACACTCAGTCTTCTACACTGGCTGCCCGCTACACTGTCGGCTACACTGCCTGTCAGCTACACTGTATGTCGGCTACACTGAGGTCGTCTACACTGCCTGTCGGCTACACTGCCTGCCGGCTACACTGCCTGTCGGCTACACCGTATGTCGGTTACACTGTCGGTCGGCTACACTGCCTGCCGGTAACACTGCATGCCGGCTACACTGCCTGCCGGTAACACTGCATGCCGGCTACACTGCCTGCCGGTAACACTGCATGCCGGCTACACTGCCTGCCGGTAACACTGTCAGCCGGCTACATTGTATGCTGGCTACACTCCCGGCCGTCTACACTGTCAGTCGGCTACACTTCCTGCCTGGAACACTGCCAGCCCGCTACACTCTTTGCCGGCTATACTGTCGGATACACTTTCGGCTACACTGTCAGTCGGCTACACTATCTGTCGGTTGCCCTGCCTGTCGGCAACACTGTCTGCCGGTTACACTGTCTGTTGGGTACACTGTCTGTCAGCTACACTGTCTGTCGGCCACACTACATGTCGGTTGCACTGTCTGTCGGTAACACTGTCTGATGGTGACACTGTCTGCCAGCTACACTGTCTGCTGGTTACACTGCCTTTCGGCCATGATGTCAGCTACACTGTCTGTCGGCTACACTGTCTGTCGGCTACACTGTCTGTCAGCTACACTGTCTATCGGCTACACTGTCTATCGGGAACACCGTCTGTCGGCTACACTGGCTGCCGGCTACACTGCCTGTCGGCTACACCGTATGTCGGCTACACTGTCGGTCGGCTACACTGCCTGTCGGCTACACTGCCTGTCGGCTACACTGCCAGTCGGCTACAACGTATGTCGGCTACAATGTCGATCGGCTACACTGCCTGTCGGCTACACTGCCTGCCGGCTACACTGTCTGCCGGATACACTGCCTGCCGGCTACACAGTCTGCACGCAACACTGACTAGATTAATCTAGTTTGGATTTTTAGTGTATTTTCTGCCTGGAAAGCAGTAGAAAGGTTATCCCCAAGGGTCAAGGGATTAGTGGGGGAGGTTAGACAAGGTAGTCTTTGTGTTAATTCCTCAAGTTAAAGAAATTCATGCATTACTCCGTATTGTAGTAATAACCAACCTCGCTTAAGGAACTATGAATTTAACGTCATTTGAGAATAAATAGTCAATCCCTTAAGTTGACAAAGGGGCATAGAGGTCATCTAGTATCAGGAACTAGTTCTGGGAGATGCAGGACTCACCCTCTGTTCAGTAGCAGCCTCCGCAGTGATAGATGGCTACCGACCATCTTGGTTAATTCATTTAAAGTACAGAAATTCAAGTTATCATTAAATAATGTAACTTAATAATTGATCAGGTTCAAGTACCTATGTAATTATCATCATTTTGAAGAATAATTCAGTGACCTTTAGTGACCAGGGCATATGTTAGCTTTATTAATTATTTAGAAATTTAGTTTGGCAACCAGCCAAGTTCAGCTTGCTTGCAGGAGGTCAGAGCTAGGTCAGGTTAGTGTGGTGTTGACAGCAGCAGGACAAGGGAGACCCTCTCCCTAGAAGCAGGCATTCCATCTGGCCTGGCTTGTGTTTTTAAGGTAAAGTTCTGTTGGGAGTTTAGGTGCAGTTATAGAAATCCAAAGTTTAAAAACCATGGCCTCTAGTTAGGAATTTATTTCAGTTAGGGAGTGTTCTCTTTTTATAGCTTTTGTGTAATAAATAATGATGGAAGTAATTTCTATTGTTTAGTGGAATTTTTCCCCATTTATATGTTTCCTTATGTATTGAATAAGCTACTGTGAATATTGCCAGCATTCTTTAGTCTATTTAAAATATATAAGCCCTTTTGTTTGAGAAAAGTCACATTTAAATTAAACTCTTCCCCGCCCCCTTCAACTAAATACGGATGTCCCTTTCTGGAACTCTTTACTAATTGGCTGTTTCCTACTTCACAGTCAATTAGGTTAATTAATCAGTGGATATATGAAGTTAGGTGGTGGCAGCTCTTAGAGTTTGCTTGTAGGTGAGAAGTACAGCGTTCCTCACACACAGAGATCACATTAATGTCGGAGAGGTTACGGGATCCAGTAAGTTCAGTAGAACTTCGGTTTCAACCCTTTTACCTTGTCGTAGCTCAGTCGATTAAGGCAGTGTCTGGGATGCTACCGGACGCAGGTTCGAATCCTCGTCACGGCCCTTCTAGATTTGTTTACAGCGTTCCTGTTTATGGGACCTAGGCGATCAAACGCCCAAGTTACAAGGCCTCGATGGATTGGAGGTTACAGTAAGAACTCTAGTGAACATCAGAATCGTTAATTAGCGGCCAACTTTAACCTAGATTAAGCGGTAAATCCTGGGTACCATTACACCCCTTTAGTATACTTAAAGAGAATAAATATTTTGATAAATTATATATTTTGAAGACAATAACTTAAAACATAAAATTTTAGTATAGTAACATGCTCCATTATTCAATGATCTCGATGAAATTAACAGAAATTTCCTGCTATCCTTACTTTGTCCACAATCGCATAAATCAAACAATCCTCCCACAGCGGCAAAGGTCTCCCAAGTCCTGCCTGTGGTGGGGGAGGGGCCGGGGCAACGTGAAAGGGATAAGTCTTATATTTGGGAATGTTTCACTCAGTTACGCTCTACCTGCCGGCGACCACACACACGTCAGTGGTGGAAAATAGCCTTTTTTATATGAGAGAAAGACACACACACACAGATGGACAGATTGAGAGAGACAGAGACATAAACTGTGGTAGAGACTAACAGATAGAGACATAGACTGTGGTAGACTCACACAGAGATAGTTTTCATGTGTGTCTATGTCTGAGTTAAATAGACATATAGACAGGAAAAGACAGAAAGACGAAGACAAAGATCAATAAATACATGAATGCACAGGTGGATAGTTGGATGGATAGACAGATGGATAGATAGATGGATAGATAGATGGATAGATGGATAGATAGATAGATGGATAGATAGATGGATAGATAGATAGATGGATAGAAAGAGATGGATAGATAAGTGATATAAAATATAGATGAATAGGTAGGTGGATGGATAAATGGAGTGACAGATGGATGAATAGATGGTAGCTGGATTAATTTATGAATACATAAATGAATACATGGATAGATGAATCGACAGATGAATAAATAAATGGCAAGATTGACGGATGGACCGACAGATGGCTGAATGGATACATGGATGAAAGGACAGATGGTTGAATAAATATATGGTTGGATAGGTATAGAGTGTGGTAGATAAATAGATGGTTGGATAGATAGATTTTCGGATAGGTAGATGGCTGGATAGGTAGATGGTCAGATAGGTAGATGGTTGGATAGGTAGATGGTTGGATAGATAGATGCTTGGATAGATAGATGGTTAGATAGGTAGATGGTTGGATAGGTAGATGGTTGGATAGATAGATGGATGGCTAGATAGACTGACGGATGGACAAATGGGAGACGCAGACATTGCAGGTTATCTCCTCCTAGAGGGATATCAAGCACATAAACTTAGGCTTGAAACATTGCCGTGACCGCCAGGGTGTAATACTGACCATCTTTATTATAAACACAATGCCCAATATTCAATATGGGGCAATAATTACAACTTGTTAAAACTTCCTTACGTTACCACTCCAGGTTCCGTTGCCAAGGTGCAGTCACTCACTGTTCGATGTGTGGCGTCATAGTAGCGGGGCGTCGGGTGGCGCCAGGCACCAGGTGTCCCTCTCGTCTGTTGTGGTCCGCTGGTGGCACTTGCTCACTCACCCTGCACGCCTCGCTCTTCACTACACTCCGCCTTTCACAGGCACGTACCGTGATTGTTCTGTACACGTAAGGATCATCACTTGTATAATTTAGAGTATAGTAGTAGGCAGCCATCAGTCTCAGGAGTTATTTAAAGTATAACATTTCCAGATTTAGCTAAAAAAAAAATAAGATAAAAAAATTGAATACAATTGTAATGCCTCGCTGTGGTTCCACATTCTAGCTCAAGGTGCGGTCATCGGAAACACGAACTTCGTGAGCCTTGACGGTCGTTCATTCAGCCTGTCGTCGCCGTGCGCCCACGTGCTGGTAACTGACGCTCGGGACGGTCTCTTCACGCTCATCTCTGGCTGGGATGATGCCCAACAAGGACGGGACTACCTCCTGCTCCTGGGTAACATGACAGTCAAAGTTACCCCGGACTTACAGGTAAGCTCACACACTCAAGCCTTCTAGTAGTTAGCCCCAGATGTGCAGGCAATCTGAGAAGAAATATGTTTGTATAACTAAGGTCAGTGTCACACAGTGGCTCCGTCATTCTCATTACTCCTTACTAACAATGTATCAATAGATGAGAGATATCTTGGTGAGGTGGAGAAGACTTGACGCTCTTCCTGGCACTTGTGATGGTTCTGTCCCTCCCGTGTTGCCTTCACGCAAGCAGCCTTCACTTCACTCCTCAACTTTCTTACCATGAAAACGTGGTTGCTTTCCCGAAGCTAAATTGTAGAGTGTGCTGCTACAATGATGCAATGGTATTGTAGAGTGTGCTGCTACAATGATGCAATAGTATTGTAGTGTGCTGCTACAATGATACAATGGTATTGTAGAGTGTGCTGCTACAATGATGCAATGGTATTGTAGAGTGTGCTGCTACAATGATGCAATGGTATTATAGAGTGCGCTACTACAATGATACTATGGTATTGTAGAGTGTGCTGCTACAATGGTACAATGGTATTGTAGAGTGCGCTACTACAATGATACAATGGTATTGTAGAGTGTGCTGCTACAATGATGCAATGGTATTGTAGAGTGTGCTGCTACAATGATACAATGGTATTGTAGAGTGTGCTGCTACAATGATGCAATGGTATTGTAGAGTGCGCTACTACAATGATACAATGGTATTGTAGAGTGTGCTGCTACAATGATACAATAGTATTGTAGAGTGCGCTGCTACACTGATACAATGGTATTGTAGAGTGTGCTGCTACAATGATGCAATGGTATTGTAGAGTGTGCTGCTACAATGATACAATGGTATTGTAGAGTGTGCTGCTACAATGATGCAATTGTATTGTAGAGTGTGCTGCTACTGTAACACTGTAAAAGTGTTTGGTTTAGTTTATTTAAAATATATATAGAATATGAGTCAGAGACAGGAATTGGAGAAGGCGCCAAGTTGTCGGCCGGAGATCTCACACCTCAAAGTGTTAATGACCCCAAGTGACCTGAGGTCAGATCATGCGAATTTCACCTTACTTCTACTAATCTTATAATTGGAGCCTGGTAGCCTTCAAACTTGCCGACGTTTAAGGAGTGGCTTGGTAGAGAGCCGGAGGCTATCTACTTGTGGGCGGAGTTAGCTACTAGGTTTCCCCAATATATACTCGGAGAGCTATCGATTCGAGAGCATAGAGGATTTAACAAGACAAAAGACCAGGCAGCAGAGCAGGAGGACAACAGCCGAGACAGGCTGTCGGTCGGACGGGGGTGAAGCTGCCTGACAGCTGCAGACTCCCCCCCCTTTCTATCCAGCTATAGGCAGGCACTTGGTGAGTTGAACATTAAGGTGACTTGGTCGTGTTTTACAAGTGTTGTGTGATGATCAGGGGCAGTCAGTTGTAGTGTTCTCAGATTCTTGGAGGATGACTCACTTTACATATATAGATCTTGAACATTGCTTAAATTATGATACTTAGTATGAAAAATATAATTGAATTTATTATTTAAATGGCCTTTAACTGTGTCCCCTATATTTGGAGTTGATACATGGTAATAACATCTTTTGAGTATATTGTGATACAGACAAGTTCCATTCCTTGTCTGGTATGTAATGGTCTAGAATGGATGGTGGCAGCATTTCGTCTTCTACTATCTACTTTTCTACTTCTACTATGTACTCTTCTACTTCTACCTATCTACACCTCTCCCTCCACCCCTCTCTAAACTCTCACTTTCAACTAATGACCCTCCTCACTCCTCCCACCTCCCTACCTCTCACCCCAAACCCTCACTAATTACTTCACTATTCATTTCTTTCCTTTCGTTTTCTCTTATACGTTTTGTGGCAATGATTCTGTATTCTAGAGTTCTCTCTAGAGTTTCGGGTAACTGATCAAGTGACGGCGCCTTGTAGTCTTAGCACCTAGGTAGTCTAATACCTAGGTTACAAGGTGTTGAACGAGAGAGGCTGCCGTAGGAACTCTGGGAGTGCTCTAGAATAGTTAGCTAACTGGGGACGGGATAACGGACTAGAGAGAGCTGTTTCCCCCCGGCCTCGTTAGTTAACTGGGGGGTGGAATAATGGACAAGATAGAGCCATTTCCCCCACCCCCCGTTACACTACAATGATACAATGGTATTGTAGAGTGTGCTGCTATAATGATACAATGGTATTGTAGAGTGTGCTGCTACAATGATACAATGGTATTGTAGAGTGTGCTGCTACAATGATACAATGGTATTGTAGAGTGTGCTGCTACAATGATGCAATGGTATTGTAGAGTGTGCTGCTACAATGATGCAATGGTATTGTAGAGTGTGCTGCTACAATGATGCAATTGTATTGTAGAGTGTGCTGCAACAATGATGCAATGGTATTGTAAAGTGTGCTGCAACAATGATGCAATGGTATTGTAGAGTGTGCTGCTACAATGATGCAATGGTATTGTAGAGTGTGCTGCTACAATGATGCAATGGTATTGTAGAGTGTGCTGCTACAATGATGCAATTGTATTGTAGAGTGTGCTGCAACAATGATGCAATGGTATTGTAAAGTGTGCTGCAACAATGATGCAATAGTATTGTAGAGTGTGCTGCTACAATGATACAATAGTATTGCAGAGTGTGCTGCAACAATGATGCAATGGTATTGTAAAGTGTGCTGCAACAATGATGCAATAGTATTGTAGAGTGTGCTGCTACAATGATACAATAGTATTGCAGAGTGTGCAGCAACAATGATGCAATAATATTATAGAGTGAACTACTGTTGTGGGAGTTTTCCAGCAGGTATTTAGTTAATTTAGTTTCGTTAGTATTTAGTGGACTGTATGTTTCATTTCAATTCTTGCTGGGTGTTACCCTATACACATAATTATGTTGGGGGGGGGGTTGATTTAATAATGCTAAATCAACTGTGAGATATTATATAACAACAGCGATGGTAAATAATAATGATTAAATTTTCTCATAAAGTTAATATACTAACTACAGAGATAAATAAATAAAATCAGTGGCTTAGCTGTTTACACGGTGTTGGAATGATAAGCTGGAAGAACGTCTCGAGAGTCAAAATGAACGTCCCCTTGCCGGTGGCGTCTGGTCCACAAGTAACGGCAGGTTGAGGCGGCTGGCTCCCGGCTGATCACCTCTGTTCTGCCAAAGGTACACGCTGTAACTCCCGTAATATCAATATTCACACAGCTAATCTCAAATAAATAGAGATAACCTATTATCTAGGCCCAAGCTTACCATGGATTTTTAGATTCCATGAGGCGTAACGACCGGTTACATTCAGAAGATATAATATGGCCATAACATTCTATACTTATTACTTAAACCAGCCGAATACAATTTGCCTTGTTGTGTGGCGACAGCAGCAACGTCTGAGGGTTGTGGCAATGTGGATGACCGAAATATTTGGCGATGCTAATCTGCTTGCTCCAGATGGGACCTGCTCGTGATCGTGTTGAACACAGAGAATATGGATGACGAATGGCGTCTTCCTTCCCCTATCATGGTGTGTGTTTATAAAATAGTTACGATATTTTATTCAACTCGTTCATTAACGAGACTATAGTGGCGTCATTTTACGCCCTAATTTCATACTTCAAATTCCAGAGAACAGTTTTCTACTGTTCCTAACACTAGGCTAGAAGTTTGTGGAGTCTTAAAATCCATTTAATAAATGTTGAATGTGTTGTGACTATTATTTTGCCAGCAGTGACATAACATTCACTACTGCGGTAATTTAGCTCGGGATGCAAGAATTTCTTATTTCTCTGTATGTTTACTAATTTACAATCTAAAATAATAATTGAAAATGAAAGCAAATTGTAGACTGGATTTATTAAGAGTTAAACAAGGAAATAATTACTGTGAGGTCTGTGGTGGCTGACGCAATCGCCCACTTTGAATCTAGGAAACGGTTGGCATTCCCTTACTAGAAATTAATATTGTTAGTAAAATTAATTTCCTGACACAACGTATTCATCTTAACGTGCCAGATGTTAGTTAGTACTCTGGGTGTCGGAAATGTCCAACAACTATAATTAAGCAATGATATTGTAGAGTGTGCTGCTACAATGACATTGTAGAGTGTGCTGCTACAGTGACATTGTAGAGTGTGCTGCTACAGTGACATTGTGCAGTGTGCTGCTACAGTGACATTGTAGAGTGTGCTGCTACAGTGACACTGTAGAGTGTGCCGCTACAGTGACACTGTAGAGTGTGCTGCTACAGTGACACTGTAGAGTGTGCCGCTACAGTGACACTGTAGAGTGTGCTGCTACAGTGACACTGTAGAGTGTGCCGCTACAGTGACACTGTAGAGTGTGCTGCTACAGTGACACTGTAGAGTGTGCCGCTACAGTGACACTGTAGAGTGTGCTGCTACAGTGACACTGTAGAGTGTGCCGCTACAGTGACACTGTAGAGTGTGCTGCTACAGTGACACTGTAGAGTGTGCCGCTACAGTGACACTGTAGAGTGTGCTGCTACAGTGACACTGTAGAGTGTGCCGCTACAGTGACACTGTAGAGTGTGCTGCTACAGTGACACTGTAGAGTGTGCCGCTACAGTGACACTGTAGAGTGTGCTGCTACAGTGACACTGTAGAGTGTGCCGCTACAGTGACACTGTAGAGTGTGCTGCTACAGTGACACTGTAGAGTGTGCCGCTACAGTGACACTGTAGAGTGTGCTGCTACAGTGACACTGTAGAGTGTGCCGCTACAGTGACACTGTAGAGTGTGCTGCTACAGTGACACTGTAGAGTGTGCCGCTACAGTGACACTGTAGAGTGTGCTGCTACAGTGACACTGTAGAGTGTGCCGCTACAGTGACACTGTAGAGTGTGCTGCTACAGTGACACTGTAGAGTGTGCCGCTACAGTGACACTGTAGAGTGTGCTGCTACAGTGACACTGTAGAGTGTGCCGCTACAGTGACACTGTAGAGTGTGCTGCTACAGTGACACTGTAGA